AATAACTATCTATACCGATGGTAGCAGAGACGAGCTAGGACACACTGGCAGTGGCTGTCTCATCAAAACCACAAATGGCATTGAGAAAATGAACAGAAGAAACCCAGATTTTTGCTCAGTCTTCAGATCAGAACTTATAGCCATCTATGAAGCCTTAAAATCCATCAGAAATACTAATTATCAAGATATCTGGATTCTTACTGATAGTAGAAGTGCCATACAACACTTGAGTCACACAGGGGAACTCAGAGACAAAGTAAGCAGGAACATAATTGGTTATCTCCAAAAACTCTCAAAAACCTCAAAAATTCACCTTCAATGGATACCCTCACATGTTGGCATTGAAGGCAATGAAGCTGCTGATGTGCTAGCGAAAAAAGGCACAAAAGAACACTTGCCACAGAAAAATAAACTTACTTTTAAAGAAATAGAAACAATAGCCAAAACAAAAATAAACAAGAACTGGAGGATCCCACCTAAGCACAGTTGGTACAGTGGAGTAAACCCAGGAGGAGCTCTGAACATCAGAAATAGACAGCATCAAACAACACTAACAAGATTTAGAACAGGCCATCTCAAGCCATTGAAGATAGAAAATAATAACAAAATTTATCCCACTTGCCCAAAATGTAGTTTGGTACCTGCTGCTCCAGAACACATTTTGGCTTGCATTAGATGCACTAAACAGGACCTTTGGGAGAGGCCGCTGCTCATCATAAAACAGCTCGAGGAGCATGAACTCTTGGAATTCGTGTAATCTTTACACAAGGGGATAAGAAACAACAACAACAACAACAGGTAATAATACCAAATCCAAATAAATAAATAGTGTGTGACGTTTCGGTAACAGCGTTGTTACCATCTTCAGACAAAAGTACTGAATGTCTGAAGATGGTAACAATGCTGTTACCGAAACGTCACACACTATTTATTTATTTGGATTTGGTATTATTACCTTGTTTTAAAGACCTACCTACTTCAGACATTTAATGAGATCAACTGGTTCTGAGAAGATGTTAGGAAAAATTGAAGGAAAGAAGAAAAAGAGAGGAAAACCTCCACAATGAGCTGGCTGGAAGGGGTCAAGGAAAGTACTCAAAGGTTACTAGATGAGCTGTAATTGATGGTCAGCAACAGATCACATTGGGGAACATTTGTTCATATAGTCAGCAAGTCAAACTCAACTTGATGGGCATTAGCAACAAAGTAGGGCTTCTATGAAATATAAATTGTCTTTCAATTAGGCTTGTGCTAGCCCAACAATGGGAGTTTATCAACAATGAGATAAAACCATAATTTATTTTGGTTTACTCCAATAAAATAGAGTGGATTAGTTTTAAAAATATATATAGCATTTTGCCTATTATATATTGTAATTCATGTTCTCAGCAAAAATTCTCTTTTTTAAATTGCTTGCCAATTAGCAAGCTTTTGGGTAGTTCACGAAAGTCTGCCTGTCAACATGCGGAAGAGATTATGGTGACAGTCATGAACTGGGAGGATATTGACTCTTAAAACATCTTCCATTCCAATCCACAAATAGAGGTTTATCAACAATGAGACAAAACCATAATTTATTTGGTTTTCTCCAATAAAATAGAGTGGATTAGTTAAAAAAAAAAAACAGCATTTTGCCTATTATATATTGTAATTCATATTCTCAGCAAAAATTATATTTTTTAAATTGCTTGCCAATTAGCAAGCTTTTGGGTAGTTTGCGAAAGTCTGCCTGTCAACATGCAGAAGAGATTATGGTGACAGTCATGAGTTGGGAGGATATTGACTCTTAAAACATCTTCCATTCCAATCCACAAATAGAGGTTTATCAACAATGAGACAAAACCATAATTTATTTGGTTTTCTCCAATAAAATAGAGTGGATTAGTTAAAAAAAAAAACAGCATTTTGCCTATTTTATATTGTATTTCATGTTCTCAGCAAAAATTCTCTTTTTTAAATTGCTTTCCAATTAGCAAGATTTTGGGTAGTTCACAAAAATCTGTCTGTCAACATGGGGAAGAGATTATGGTGACAGTCATGAGCTGGGAGGATATTGGCTTTTAAAACATCCTTCTTTTCAATCCACAAATGGTATATCTGTTTATTCCAATACTTGTGTTGTCTCAGAATCTGTGTTCACCAGAGTTGTGTGTGTTGTAGGTCTATTCAGAATACACCATCAGTCTGGCTTATGACATGGCCAGCAGTAAGCTCAAAAATGTAAGTTACCTCTCCCTCTCTCTGTTATAAATTATATAGATTGTTATAATGTTTGACGAATTCAAAGTTTGGTTCTATACCATAAGTTGGATAACCACCTGGAGCAGTATATTATCAAAAAGAGGGGTCGGTGGAAGGCTGGTTAAACCGTTTGATTTTCGACCACTACGACCCGGGTTCAATTCCCACATTGGACACTTTTTTCTGTTTAAAAAAAATGTTCCAATGGCCCCCAATTCTTGCAAAAGTCCAACCCCACCAGCGAGTGCAAGTAACCAAACGGGGCTCTGGTACATTTGTAAGTGCAAAGTCGAACTGCTTTTCACATGTGTAGACATGTGGTGCGCTTACAGTAAAAGCAGTCGCTAACTACCCACCATGATTATCATGGCCTGTACCACGTGTACTAGGGATAAGCACAAAATCATGAGTCAATGAGTTTCTTGTAAAAAAAAAAAATAGAAAACCTTACAAGAAACTTTTAGACCCATGATTTTGTACTTTCGATAATACAATAGAACCTTCCTGTAAAGAACACTTAATTGCAGAGCCAAAGTATCCTTTAGAGAGAGGTGTCCATTTACCGGAGAGTTGATAAATTGTAAAAATGGTAATTTTGCAAATGAAAACTGTCCTTTGTAGAGAGGTGTCCGTTAAAGGGAGGTTCTACTGTATATAGATTCTCATTATGGATCATTGTTTTTTTTCTGTATGGCTATGGAGGTTGGAACAATGAACTGAAGTAGAAAATTGGACTCTTTTGATGTCTGGTTAAAAATGAGGGAGATGGAAAATTTTCTCTAAAGAATGATTTGTGTCTTCATGATGGGTAAATGTATGTTTGTGGAGTGGATTTCTAGAATCAGAAGCACTTACTATGGTAAGTGACTTAGCTTCATATGAGGCCACTTCTCTCATGGAGAACAGACATATTTTTTCTTAATCTTAGCATGAATACAGCTGCTGTTGGTTTTGTTAGGAATCACTTTTAATGACGCCATATAATTATACCCAGTATTGATAAAGCACAATTTCTCTTCTTCTTCTTTCTTATCTCCACTCAATCATATCAGGGTATCAAGCGCGATTTGACAACCATCATGATTGGGTGACGTAAAGTGCGTTAGATTGGGAGCACTACTCAGTGGCAGGCCGACTTAGCTCCAAAATAAATGGCCGCCTCTGACATGAGGAACAGACGCCATGTTCAGCCACTCCTAACATGGAGTACAAACGCTGCTCATCCTGTATACCTGGATTAGGAGCCCTTACAGGGTACTATCAGCCGGGCCAGCTGAACCCAGGTTTTTTAGTGAGCTTGTTACTGCTCCCCCTCCTCCTTTTTCATCCGGGCTTGGGACTGGCAAAGGCGGAGTTAAGCACAATTTGGGTTATAGATTATAGATACAAGAAAATAAGACCTAATCCAAATAATTTAATAATGTGTAACGTTTCAGTAACAGCATTGTTAACATCATCAGACAAAAGAATAAATGAGAAAAAATATCACAGCATGTTCTTAAATAGTACTTGATACTACTACACTTGATAACAATACTATTTAAGAACATGCTGTGATATTTTTCTCATTTATTCTTTTATCTAATGATGGTAACAATGCTGTTGCCGAAACATCACACACTATTTAATTATTTGGATTAGGTCTTATTTTCTTGTATCTATACACAGTATTGTTATTGAATTATTGTTGCACATTTAATTGATCTATTCCTACCACAGGCTAGTCCACTGCACTCTGTTGATGACTGGAGCTGTTGGATTAGATATTCACAGCTCACCATCATCACTGATGGTTGTTTTCCTATTGGTCATCTGGGAACCCACCTGATTGCCTCCCCAAAGATATATATAGTGGTAATGTGAAATTGTCTTCAGGAAATTGTCTGAAATGTTGTTTCAAGCCCTGAAGATGATTGGTTTGGTAAATTCTTCTTCTTTCTTATTTCCGCTAAATCATATTAGGGTATCAAGCTTGTAGAACTTGTTGATGGTGCATGCTGGGGATGAGTAGAGCTCATCCATGGATAGCCAATACAGTCAATAATATAGTTTGGGGTTGTGCAGGTTGAGAATTGAACTTAGTACATAGTGGGAGAACCTTGCAATATATATATATATATATATCATTATGGAAAGTCATTGTTCGTAGATGACCAGACTTAAGTTGTTGTTGTTGTTTCTTATCCCCTTGTGTAAAGATTACACAAATTCCATCAGTTCATGCTCCTCAAGCTGTTTTAAGATAAGAAGCAGCCTCTTCCGAAAGTCAAAGACTGCTGTGGTTTGATGATATAAACCTCTTGACTTGGGATAACACTTTTGCTGCCCTGATCATGCTCAATGTTAGTGTTGTATCACAGGCCTACTCAGATCATGCGGACCTGGTCTCCCGTAGAATGGGGTTCATGCCCATACCTCTGACAGCCTTGCTCCTGAGGGTGATCATAGGGGCCATCTCTGTCCACAACCTGGGCAGCCTCATCTGTCTGGGACTCAGCTATCTCTGGTGGGTAACTTATCCTTTCTCTCTTGATAAGGTAACAAGACTGCTTCCAAATTAATGAAATGTTTATACACCTCCCTGTAAAGGACACCTAATTGTAAAGTCAAAGTGTCCTTTAGGGAGTGGTGTCCTCTTACTGGAGAGTTGTTCAATAGTCAAAATGGTAATTTTGACAATAAAAACTGTCCTTTGTAGAAAGGTGTCCTCTAGCGTGAGTGTCCTCTCACTGAGGTTCTACTGTATAAGAAAAAAATGCTTCCCACATAGGGAAGCGAACCCAGGCCTCCTGAGTGAAAACCAGATATCCTAGCCACTAGACCATGTGGCCTGGAGGACCCAAGAGGACTGGTTTGATTCCCAATGTGGGAAAATTTTATTAATTTGAATTTAGTCTTACAAATATTTCATTAATTTGGATTTGATCTTGTTGCCTTATGTTTCTAATCTATAATTTAAATTGTACCTTATCAAGACCATATCCAAATAAATTGATTATGCATCACATTTCAGAAATGCCAAATTATTTTCCTTCTATTCTTGTTTACACAACTGATAACAGTACCAACTATCTTTTTTTTTTTTTAAACATTCTGCGGAATTTTCTGTCTCATTCAGTAATGAGATGTTTTACAATTTCTTAGATGGACAAAATATTGGCATATCACTGTTTTAATACAAGATGGTTTTATTGGATTTTTAGACATTTTATTTATGATATTTCAACAAACTGCATACTTACAAGAGAAGGAATCGCCTGACATCATTTGATGAATAAACAAAAGTTAATGGCGATGAGTTTCTTTTATTCTATTATTACTCGTCGCCGTTAACTTTTGTTTATTCTTCAAACTGCATACTGCTCATCAAATGATCATAAATTATTATGTCTAAAATCTCATATACATCCATCTCTTGTTTTAAGTAGATGGAAATTTTACCAGGAAGAACATTGATCTATTACAAAAAGGTCAAAAGAATCTCAAAAAATATCTTTCACAATAAGTTTGTGTATTATAAAGAATGATCACTCTCAGATTATATTTTGTTTGTTGAAGAGCAAGACCTGGAAAAGGGTCATGGTTTTTATAATAAAAAAGGGGGTCGGTGGAAGGCTGGTTAAACCGTTGGGTTTTCGACCACTACAACCCGGGTTCAATTCCCACATTGGACACTTTTTTATGTTAAAAAAAAAAATGCTCCATTGGCCCCCGATTCTTGCAAAAGTCCAACCCCACCAGCGATTGCAAGGTAACCAAACGGGGCTCTGCACATTTGTAAGTGCAAAAGTCAAACTGCTTTTCACATGTGTAGACATGTGGTGCACTTACAGTAAAAGCAGTCGCCTACCTCTACCCACCATGATTATATGGCCTGTACCACATGTACTAGGGATAAGCAAAAAAATAAATAAATAAATAAATAATAATAATAATAAAAAACTTATTTTGAAAGGTTTTTTTTTAAATCTTTTAGTAAAAGTGTATCACACACACAACAATTTTTTAAATAGTTGCTATTGATCTATTAGAGTCACCTCTCCGTTCAAAATAGGATGCTGTCTTCTGAATTTGGCAAAGCTGACGTTTTGGCTTTGTCATGGATCTGAGCTTGCTAATTTGTGGAGATGGTCATTGGAAAGCACTTGGTTTTTAAGTGTCTTTATTTTTAAACATAAATCTTGTATTAAAAGTATAACACATTTATGAATAAGAAATGAAAGAATTAAAGCATGAAAATGTTTCTTTTACACATATAAACAAACTTCTACTCTCATCACAAGGTAATAACACCAAATATAAATGATTTTTTTTTGCTTATCCCTAGTACTCGCCTAGTACTCGTGGTACAGGCCATGATAATCATGGTGAGTAGAAGTAGGCGACTGCTTTTACTGTAAGTGGACCACATGTCTACACATGTGAAAAGCAGTTCGACTTTGCACTTACAAATGTGCCAGAGCCCCGTTTGGTTACTTGCACTCGCTGGTAAGGTTGAACTTTTGCAAGAATCAGGGGCTTATTGGAGCATTTTTTTTTTAATCAGAAAAAAGTGTCCAATGCGAGAATCGAACCTGGGTTGTAGTGGTCGAAAACCAACGGTTTAGACCATCCTCCTACCGACCCCCCAATATAAATAAATAAATAGGGTTTGTTTGTATTTGGTATTATTACCTTTTGTTTATAATCTATAATCGAAATTGTGCCTTATCATTAGACTTTTACTATCCATACTGATGACAATATTGGGATGGCTTGGCTCATCTGTTTTGAACACCCTTTCCCAGCGGTTTGGCCAATTTATGGATCTTCAAAATTGTGTGTTCCAGTCTGGTGGCACTGAAGATGGCCATCAATCTGTACCTACTGGGCAAGGCCTGCGACCACATTGACCGCCATCGACAAGCCAAGAAGGCCCTGGAGACTCGGCAATGTGCCAGCCTGCCCTCTACTCCTCCCCATCATAGACTCAGGTACACATGACTTCTTATAAAATGAAAGGATTTAAAAGAACGAATGTTTCTTTTATACATAATACAAACTTCTACTGTCCTTACTGCGGATGAAAAAAATATATTGGTAGGGCTTGGCTCATCAGCGGTGAACCCTCCCAGCGGTTTCGCCAATTTAATCTACAAGACCGTTTCTTAGAGCTCTAATACTGTATTAAACGATTCTGCTTATATATGCAGCACTGAAGGATGGAATCTCAGAAATGGTTTTCAAGAAGACTATGGACATAAGCTTATAGGACAGTAGAATTACATTCAAATACATTATCTCTGTAGAGTAAACAACACATGCCGGAGGAAGAGCTTCTTTATAATTCTCCATGATCTATGTTTCTTTTTCTATTGCAAATAGGGGGTGGGTGGATGGCTGGTCTAAATCATTGGTTTTCGACCGCTATGACCCGCGATCGAATCCCTCATTGGACACTTTTTTTTCTAATTAAAAAAATAAATACTCCAATGGCCCCCGATTCTTGCAAAAGTCTAACCCCATCAGCGAATGCAAGTAACCAAACAGGGGGCTCTGGCATATTTGTAAGTATAAAAGTCGAACTGCTTTTCACATGTGTAGACATGTGGTGCACTTACAGTAAAAGCAGTCGCCTACCTCTACCCACCATGATTATCATGGCCTGTACCACGTGTACTAGGGATAAGCAAAAAAAAAAAAACATATGATACAGGCCATGATAAACATGGTGGGTAGAAGTAGGTGATTGCTTTTACTGTAAGTACACCACATGTCTACATATGTGAAAAGCAGTTTGACTTTGAAATTACAAATGTGTCAGAGCCCCCGTTTGATTACTTGCACTTGCTGGTAAGGTTGGACTTTTGCAAGAATCAGGGGCCATTGGAGCATTTTTTTTTTAAATCAGTAAAAAGTGCTTGATGCGGGAATCGAACCCGGATCGTAGCGGTCGAAAACCAACGTTTTAAACCACCCTTCACCGACCCCCTCTTTTTCTTCTTCTATAGCAAATATATAACAACTTATCGTTGTCTTATGTCTCTCTCTCTATTTATTCATATATTTATCATTATATAATCTTATTTATTCATATTTATATTAATTCTATATTCAACCTTATATAATCTTATATGGACTTTGAAATAAATCAGTTTCAATCTCTCTCTCTCTCTCTCTCTCTCCATTTCCTTTTCATCTCTCCTTTGATAAGGCACACACAATTTGCATTATAGATTAGAAACAAGGTAATAAGACCAAATAAATTATTACAGTAAAAACCTCCCTTTAGTAGACACCCTGCTAGAGGACACCTCTGTACAAAAGACAGTTGTCATTTGCAAAATTATCATTTTTACAATTTAGCAACTCTATGGTAAGAGGACATCTCTCCCTAAAGGACACTTTGTTCTGCAATTAGGTGTTGTCCTTTACAGGGAGGTTCTACTGTACTGTGTGATGTTTCGGTAACAGCATTGTTATTGTTTAGACAAAAGTACTTTTGTGAAAAAAATAGTACAAATGTAATATTGTGCTGGGATAAGGTGCATAAATTAAGAAAAAGGCATCTACTTATCGTGCAACTGAAAGTTGCTAATGGCTTGCGCCATCTATCGGAATAAATATCAACTATTCTCGTTGATTTTTAATTATTCCAGAATTGGCCAAATACCCATTCTTGATTAATCAAGAAAAGCTAACCACGGACGCGTTTCGGGCTGTTGGCCCTCATCAGCGTGGTGCAAGCTGTACCTCAACGACCAAAAAATTGATCATTAAGGCATCCTGAAAAATGTACTTTTGTCTGATGATGGTAAGAATTCTGTTGCCAAAATGTCGCATACTATTTATTATTATTAATTTTTATTTGGTCGTATTACCTTGTTTTTATATCTCCTTGCTTCCAACTAACATTGCACACTAAACTTTCCCAAAAGCAACCAGTCTTGTAAAATTTGCCTATCCCTTTCCCTGTCCAATAC